TCTTGTGTACCGTCCTGAAGTGGTCATGTGTGTGTTGATGAAGTGTTGTTTTTTTTATGCCTAATTCAACTTGCAACATTCCTGTTCTTTTTGTATACAATAAAGACAATGTTTACAGTGATTATTCAGACTAGTTGCGGGTTTTGTGTTTTTGTGTTTGCATCAATTTAAGTGTATTTTTCACACCAGAACTCTTGGTTTGTGAAAATCAAGCTGGGAAAATATTAGGGATGAGTTGGAAAATAATACAGATGAGCTAGAAAATATTAGGGATCAGCTAGAAAATATTAGAAATGAGTTTGAAAAAATACAGATATATGCTGAAAAATACTGGAAAATACTACGGATGAGCTAGAAAATACTGGGGATGAGCTTGAAAATATTAAGGATGAGTTAGAAAATACTGGAGATGAGCTAGAAAATATTACAGATGAGCTAGAAAAAATATATGAATGAGCTAAAAAAATACTAGAAAATACCTCGGATGTGCTAGAAAACACTGGGGATGAGCTAGAAAATATTAAAGAGAAGTTACAAAAATATTAGGGATGAAGTAGAAAATACTGTGCATGAGCTAGAAAATATTAAAGATGAGCTAGAAAATAATAGGAATAATCTTGAAAATATTGGGGGTGAGCTAGAAAATGTTAAGGGTGAGCTAGAAAATACTGGGATCAGCTACAAAATATTAGGTATGAGCTAGAAAATACTGGGGATAGGCTAGAAGATATAGTGATAATCTACAAAAAACCGAGGATGAGCTAGAAAATCATGGACAATATTCGGGATGAGCTAGAAAATATTTGGAATGAGCTACACTATGTTAGTGATAATCTTGAAAATACCGGGGATGAGCTAGAAATATATAAGTATAAGGGATGATAAAAATATTGGGGATGAGCCAGAAAGTAAGGGCAAATATTTGGTGATCAACTAGAAAATACTGGGGAATACAGTGGATGAGCTAGAAAATACTATGGATAAGCTAAAACAAATACTGGGGATCAGCCAGAAATGATTACGGATGAGCTAGAAAATACTATGGATAAGTTAGAAAATACTGGGGATGAGCCAAAAATGATTACGGAGGAGCTAGAAAATACTGAGGACCACTGGGGATGGGACTAGAAAATACTGGGAATGAGCTAGAAAATAGTGGGGAACACTGCAGATGAGCTAGAAAACACTGGGGAGGAGCAAGAAATTATTACAGATAAGCTAGAATATAATAAGGATGAGCTACAAAATAATCGAAATGAGCTAGAAAACAGTGGGGAATATTTGGTATGAGCTAACAATATTAGGTATGAACTAGAAATTATTAGGGATGATTTAGAAAATACTGGGGATGAGCTAGAAAATACTGGGGGAGTGCTACAAAATATTGGGGATGTGATTAAAAAATATTGGGAATGTGCTAGAAAGTATTAATGAAGGATCTAAAACTATTGGGAATGAACTAGAAAGTATTTATTAAGGATCTAAAAATATTGGGAATGAGCTAGTAAGTATTAATTAAGGATCTAAAACTATTGGGAATGAGCTAGAAAGTATTAATTAAGGATCTAAATCTATTGGGAATGAGCTAGAAAGTATTAATTAAGGATCTAAAACTATTTGGAATGAGCTAGAAAGTATTAATTAAGGATCTAAAAATATTGGGAATGAGCTAGAA